TATATATATATATATATATACACACATATATATGCCGCTAACGGCAGGTTGCTGTCAGTACGCTGAGGTTCTTGAACTTTTCCGGGGATCCGTTTCTAGAATCGACCGAAGGAAGGCTCAGGTTCGGATCGCCCAGGTGGGGATCGGGATCGTCTTCTGGTACGAGACATCGCCCGGTCATCACACCTCGAGCATCCTCCGTGTTGTCCAGACACGTTCCACGTTCTCCAACGTCATTTCGTTCATTTTCATCTCATCTCGCGATACCGGTACTGATCCTGGGCCAATCGCGTTTCCGCGTTATCTCATTAAGAATCGTCGAAAAAAGTGGTCAGCCCGAGTTCACACCCGTTGAGTAAGAAAATAACTTGTCAATTTACAATCGCAGCCGAACAGGAAGCATCCTGCAGTCACCGGTTTCAATCAGAATCGAGTAGAAAACAATAACTTAGGAACTGGAATCAAGTAGAGGGCAACTTGACAGATTTTAAGATAGATCGAGGTCAAGTACACAGGTGAACCCGACAAGTTCACGAGTTGCATTCGAACGAAAGGCAACTCGACAAGTAGCCGTTCATCAATGTTATCAATCAACATGCGTGTATTCAAGACTGTACTACTCATTGCGTTCTTCGCAAGCGTTCAGTGTTTACCCGTTACCGACAAGTTGACTGAGTCCGAGACTGATTCCAAGATCGAGTCTGAGATCAAAGATGAAATCACATCGGTGATACCGCAGGAGACAGCTGTAACCTTCACCGCACCGACGTCCACGCTCTCCGATGCCATCGATTACTACGACCAACGGCAGAACGGGACCGAAAACTATCGCATCCACTTGGACGGTCTTGTATTCGTATTTGCGCCGGTCGAGGCACTGCTCTTGGCTGGCGCCACCGCTGGCAACTCGGAACATAATTTATCAACTTCGAATCAAAAGATATCCACTCCGCCGACGATCCAGTCCATCAACGAACTAGACAAACCCATCATCGATAGCGTTTCCAACAAAACCGATTTGGCGATCTCGAAGACACTAAACAAGTAAGAATCCATTTACTTCTATTGCTGCCCTAATATAATCAATTTTATTAATTATATCTTATAATAGTATTAATTATATCAATCTTATAATTGTGATTTTATTGCAGCTAGCGTTCACGTGTAATGTTTATTCTTTTAATTATAAAAATAATTTAATGTACACTTTTTCAACATACTCTTCTTATGTTCCAGACCAGCTGTACGGTTGGTGAATTTTTTGGCGCCTTTGATACGTCGCATACGTCATGTGCGTGGCACGAGCGTGCACTAAAACGATTCCTCGATGCTTGCAATTCCAATACACAATATTCCGTCTACAGCATATATTAAAAAAACGGTATTTTTCTTTTCTTTTAATACAACGTGCGCTGTATTCTGTATTTCAAACTACAACCATTTAAAATAAGATGTTTGAAAAGAATATATTATTCTCTCCACAGGGATAGGATATCTGCATCTACAGGGATGATGGACGAGTATTCATACTAGAATATAACGTATGATTGATGACCGAATCGACGTCGTACCACGCATTTATATAGTGTCTAGTATATTAATAAAGGAACGCGCTAATATTAGCGTTATCCCCGAGCTCATTTCTCTGTAACTTAAAAGATGGCTTTTAAATGAAAATACATAAAATTACAGGAATGGCGATTTCATTCACCTTATCCGTACAATGTAACGGGCGATTGTGATTCAGTAACCACATATGTATTTACATGTTAAACAAGCTAAATGCAATATTCGCTTTGCCATAATTCCGTTTTGATTTAGCGTCACAGTACATAAATCACTATTCATTTACTTATAAACTAATCGTAATTGTTAGTGACGATTTCTTGTATTGACAATTGCAAATTTTTTACATGCATTTACGTGATATAATCTGCTTTAATTATATGTAAAGTTATGTATATATAATACAATTATATTCATCTGTGTATTTTTCAAGATATGAAAATTTATTTGATTAAACAATAAAATACATATGTGTTGTTTGGTTGTATCATCACAATATTTCCTATGATTAAAGCTACGCTTAAATTAAAGCACAGCTCCGTTTTAATAAAAGCAATCTCGTCTGGAAAACGTTTATAATAAATCTCAACTTTGGTTTCACTGAGCAAAAAGTCTTTGAGATTTATTATAATTGACGTATATACATTTTTAGATGAAAGAAATAAATTACACATACATACACACATACACAAAAATAATAGTACAAATATCTTTTTCTAATTCTTGTCTATTAAGAAGCATCTTAAGCATCTTTATATCTACGATTTGTCATAAAATATTTCACTATCTTTTTAAATTTCACACAATGTAATTACGGTAATACAAGTATTGTATGATCGAAGACACAATAAAAGGTATCTGAAATCTATCCTTCCGTTTTATATGTATCTAGCTCTTGTTGTGTTCTCTCTAAATATTAAATATTGTTATCTTAAATATAGGCTACCCTGTTTTTACTTCGAATGAAAAAGTATGTAATTAAAAAAATCGATCTTTTATAAACCTAATAATTTCACACATTGGAGGATTATTTTATTAAATATAAAATTCTATGATCAAAACTCGGCGGTGGGAATCAATATTAAATGTATATATATACTGGCTAATAACGAATAACGAATAACGAATAACGATTTACAATTTCGTATTTTGACAAAAAAGTGTACTAGCGTATCACGTATTCAAATATATGTTAAATATACATATAAGACATATTTTTTGCATACACTAATACATTTACAAATATATGTTCAAAATCATTAATCATTATTCGTAAATATATTTTGCCAAATTCTGATGAAAGAAATACAATGCAAAATCAACAAAATTAAATACTTTGATATATTTTTCTACATGCTGCGTAGTTAGCTATGATTGATTGAATTTTAACCAGAGTCATTTATTTTTTAAATAATTATTTTTTTGTACAATTATTTTAAAAACAGCGACGAGCCCGTATTTGTTCATATTTGATTTTTGTAATCTGGATGTACATCCTATTAATATACACATGTACACATGTACACCATTATATTCAGTGTGAAATTAATATTATAAAACGCACAAAAATATATATTATGATGGAAGGAAAAATATATGTAATATTCCAAACTATATGGTGTCTAAACTCTTGAAAATTCAGTCACCTCAAAATTTGAATCCGATTTTTATAAATAACAATAAAACGTTGATCGATGTTTAATATAATAATTCAGACTCTTAAAATTTACATGAATTCTTAAGAATTAAAATCATTTATAATATATAATTAGGAAGAATAAGAAATTTATAAATATTTTAAAATATTAAGCGGAAGTCGCTCCACATCGAGAGATCCTCAGTCTATTTCGCCAGAACTGCTATTAGTAGCAAGTACGGCCTCGTTAAATTTTAATTCCTTCTTACTCGTCTATAGAGGAATTGAACCATTGACATCTCTTTCACGAAAGTTACATTTTTATCTCAGATATGGCAGTAGCGTGGAAGAAGTACACTATAAAAATGTATCGGCAACATCGCCGGCTATTACCTCTTTGAGCAAAATCCGACAATTCTCCACAACGCTACGTCGTCGATCAGATACGTTGTTCAGGACATCTTCCGGTGATTGATGAAGGTTATCAATAATC